TGAATAACAGTACGCGCTATTTAAACGCAGATGCTCAGAGCGCTACTCACCGAACTGTGAAGCAGAATGCCGCCCATCCATCCGAGCAATAAGCTTAGAATTATGCTGCCCGGCAGTACGCCGAGCCAAACGCACATATGTGAAAGCAGCAGGGAAACGAACAGAACGGGAAAAAGGAACAGTATGAAATGCATTTTTTTGCGAAATACACGCATTTGCTGGTCCGCGAATAAATTGCAGCGAAAGAACGATTGATAAAGCAGAACCCCAGCAAGTGCCAAATCCACACACACATACACACGCACACACACACACACACACACACACACACACACACACACACACTCATTCATTTCAGAAGAGTTTCGCGTATCGTTCAATAAACGGTGCTGAAGAGGAAATGTGCTGCTGCTAGGTGATCAGAGTACTGCATCAGTTTTAAAGACAACAAACCTTTGCTTTCTGAGCTTCATTCTGTGCTGTTTCGACAATTGAAACACTCGATGCACCAGCGATCAGCAGTCGTTCCGGGAGGCGTCTCGAATGCAAATCAAAGAGAGAAATCCTCATACCACTGAGTGGGCCTCCGTTCGGACATTTTGAGGCGAGCAACGCGTCCATTAGGTAAGCTAAATGCACGCAATCAGTCAGTACCCCGTAATTGCAACAGGCACAGGGATACGTTAAATATTAACTAAGCAGAGAAAAAAAAGGTGGCTTTATCAACAATCATTCTGTTTTGATGAGCGTTAAATACAAAAAGTTACGAAAATTTGCCGGACGACCGAGGTATGCTCAATGAGAAGTCAGTACTGTCAATCGAAGTGGCTGAGTGCCGCTACGCACACCTTTACGATGCAGTGACTTCATTAATAAGACACTCACCAGCGATGTTCCTTTCTTCTCCGATGCCCACGCCCGTACTCTTGGCCAGCTTGATCTCTTCCTCACGCATGTAAAACTCCCGTCTCGTTCCACACCGATCTCGCGCCCCATCTTCCACCACGCTCTCTTCACGAAGCGCAGCCTCTGCCTAAATCTGAATTCGATACAAACGAGGCACGCGGCAGCAAGCCCTGCCAGCTGTGCTGTGAGTCATGCTATTACACCGCATCAGGCTTGTTTTTTTTTTTCTGCCGTGCTCTCCCTCGCGCTGCAAATCAAATTTCAACGAACCATCTTAGCATGCTGAGTGCCGCTGCTACTGGCAGTGCTCGGTTGCTCGAAGGACGTTGTCGAAGTTCGCGCCAGTCGCACAGCTCGCCTGCACACGCCATATGGAAGCATTCCGCATCATTCACTTGCTGTCCCAGCGCATCACACCGACTCCTAAAATTCACTGATATTCCGCGCAAACTGCGACAACACGCAACCGAAATGCCCGGACTATAGCGAAGAAAGCGTGCCAAACACATCGCGCACAACCAGGCACACACACACACACACACACACACTAAAGCTGCTCAGGATCGCTCATTATTTTTATGGCGGTATGTTGCGGAAATCACATGCATACACTAGTGCCCCGGATCAAGAAAAGTACAATTGTGCAGTGAGCAAATGGCCTCGTTTCGTGGGCCAGAAGTGTCAGTTCCGCACTGCTGCCTCTCAGTGCTAGGCACTCAGCAGCACCTGATTTCTTGCGCAACCCTGCCTCCAAACAACCCCTCTCTGCTACGACCACTTGCAACCAGAACCAGCATTCCCATGACCCCTTCCAAACCCTTCATTCACAATGCACCTGAAACAATAACTAAGACCCTCCCGGACACACACACACACCACGACCACCGCCCCATCACCATGCTCTACAACACTAAACGCTAGAAACAGATTCTGCGCGACCGAACCGACTTTTACTGCTTTGATTACTAGCAAAATTTGACTCGGCCGAGGTTCGGTGACCAATAGCAATTCCGATCTTCCCCTCTCATGCGTATGCGTATGTGTGAAGAAGAAGAAGAAATAAGCGACAGCTCTGCCACCGAATGCGTGCTGCTCTCAGGGCCGGCCTTTCGTAGCGATTGGGAAGTTAAACTGTTCGGTCCCACTTCATTAGGTACATTTTGTATTTTAATTACCGAATAAAAGGCAATTATTTTGCTCTGTACATATTCATCAATCGTCAAAATTGTCAAGGCCACAAACAAAAACAAGGTGTGAGAAGAGGTAGTGAAGAGCATATGTTGTGAAAAAATGTTCAGGAGATGCAATAAGAACCTGTAGGAAAGCCGGATGTCGACTTGGCTGTCTACGTTTCATCCCTAAGCTGCAAACACAGACAGTATTCGATGTGGATTGGGGTGGGAATCGTCAGTGCAGCCCTCAATCCACCATTTGGAAAAGATCACATTTAATCAAGCTTCAAAATCAAGTTCACATAATCACATTTGCATCAAGTACAAAGTATCTATTCGAAAAAAAAAACCTTTAAAAATGACTACTAGCGGCGCGAGGAGATGATGAAGTCCCTTGACCCAAATTTGGATCATGTACTTACGCGAATTACTACGCCATACAGTACAAAGATTTCCGGTCCTAACCCTCTGGCATCTAAAATGAACATACATAAACACACATACACACAAACACACATATAAAAAAGGGGAAGAACCCAGTACAGAAAGTACTGGTTTAGTTCAGAAACCCAAAGTACAGAAACCTGTGTAAGCCTGTGTAAACCTGTGTAAAAAAAAGTACAGAAACTCGGCTTATTTTCAACTTTTTTCGACTAAATTCCGCAAGCGAATAAAGCCTTTTCCAGGACTCCACTTGGAAACGTCAGGCCGAAAAATCACCCATAAGAAACCGCTTTTATGTATCCAGTTTCCTTCAAAAATTGACTCAAATTTTGAATTATGTACCCAATTCGAAATTTCGAAATTTCCAATTCAAAATTTCAAAATTATGTACCCAATTCAAAAATCCAATGCTCCAAAATTCCAAATATTCCAAAATTTTTCCAAATAATTTTTTTTTCATTTTTTCCAAAAATTCCAAAATTTTTTCCAAAAATTTTCAAACATTTCAAACAAAAAATCCCAAATATTCGAAAAAAAGATTCCAAAATTACAAATATTCCAAAATTCCAATGCAATGCAATAAGACGATGCACTCATCAACACTGTGAAAAGTCTCATCCGGTGCGCTTCTTCGGACGACCACCCATTTCGGCTTGCCCAATCGCTGTAAAAAGGCCTCTCGCTCGGCCATAGTACGTCGCACACGTACCCGTGGAGCGGCAGTGCTAAAACTGCCAGAGACCGCAGCACTAGCTGTTCCGGAGCTGCGTCTGCTGTTTAAAAATGAGCGCTTCATGCTGATCCACTTTCTCGGATTTTCTGTTCTACAGACTTCGAATGGGGGGACGGAGACCGCATCATAAAGAAACACTGGCGATTTTAGTGTTTCTGGAAACACTTATAGCTAAAACTCATAACGACACGGACGCCATAATACATTATTTTATCTAGAATCAAGACTAAGACCACACGGACAATCACTATGGTTGTCTCATTTTCGCGACGCGACTGGGATGGTTCCGTAAGCCAGACGTAGTACCTCGATTCTGGTTTACATACCCCCGGTAAAGGATACTGCTTGTTCGATATATATGCGCCATTTCTTTTATTAATTAGTAGCAAACGGCTCCATTCTAACTGCGGAATAAGTTTGCAGTTTCCAGCCGGGGACTGCGCAAAACACGGCCAGAGAACATTCCGTCAAAATTTCAGTTTTCCAGCTTTCCTGGTTCTCGAGTCAGTAATATCCTCGTCAAAAACTTCCGCGAGAGGGCTGAATTTGATATCTTTAAGTTGTACGGGGGCTGGGAACATCCTCTTGAAGCTTCAGCCTCCCAGCTTCTCTGGTTCCCGAGTTAATGATTTTTCCGCCAAAACTTTCACGCACCCAGAGCCTAAACGTGCGTGAGGGTTGGCACCGCGGTCCTGGGGTGGCACTTGGCCGGGAACACACTGACAAAATTTTTACGCCCTACAATACTTGGTTGCTGAGTTGAAAAACATTAATTTGTGTGTGTGTTTCACACAGAAACACGCACACCACGGATCGTCACAATATGCGTTTTTGCACTTACATGTATTCAAAAACGCATTACGAAGTAACATTTTGAGAAGGTATACAAGCTGGAAGAAGAAACTGATACTTTTTTTAGCTCCTAGTCCGTTAATTCCAGAAAATCCAGGATTCTTTTAACAGCCAGGCAGGGATCCTGAAGCATCACTGAGCAATGGGGTTCCTCGAACTGGAAAAATGTGAGCAAACCATTCTATCACTCTACATAGAAATGAAAACAGTCTGTATGTCTTCTTGGCCTAATGCCCTTATGTATGATACGCCAAACAATAAAAAAAGATTTACTTTACTCATAAATGCATTGCAAAAGAGGCTAACTGAAACAGAGAGACAATGAGGAGAAATGTGTAGTCAGTAAATGAGGAAAAATTCACACAGAAGCAGGGAAATCCGATGTTTCATAATAAATACCACGATTAGTCGCCCTAACACAGCAAGTACATTAGCGTGATCAACCTAACTGATAGCTTGCCGAGTTTGCTGCGATGTGTGTGTGTGTGTGTGTGTGTGTGTGTGTGCCCGTATGTCTGCGGATTCGCACTTTTTTTCATCCCCTTTCAACTCGAGAACTAGAAGCTAGGAAGCTGAAACTTTGGAAGCATATTTCAAGCCCATGTTTGACCCTCCGTTTTAATATTATTATTCGCATACGCTTGGGCCCCTCGTTCGGGTGCCTCAAAAAAACATATAAATTTCATGGCGGGGAAGCAGCCTCGGGATCATGACGAGGTAGAAAGCTGAAATGTCACTGGGATATTCTGTCCCTTGTTTGAGCTAAGGATTTCAAATCCAGCTTTGACACACGTATCCATGTTGTGTACAAATGCATCAAGGTTGAGATTTCGCAATCGTTGGCCAAATGCTAGTTCAGGAGCTAAGTTGCTCAGAAGTTTTAAATTCACTGGAATATTTATTTTCGATAAATCGGCAAGTAGGCGTAAAATGTGCGTTGGTATACGCCTATGTCACGAGTTTCGTTATGTTAAAGATTTCATGTAACAAAAAGTAAGTTCGCCAACCGAAATGCTAGGGAGCTGAAATTTTACGAAGGTATTCTCTGTCCATGTGTTACTGAAATAATTCAATTTGAGTTTTAAAACACGCCTAGATCTAGCATGCGCCCAAATGAATGTTTAGTTCTGGACACTGTTGGCACTAAAATAACTCGGTAACCAGAATAAGAAAAAAGCAGTATTTTTTCCGAGGACGTTTACCGTTCATCTGCGGGTCATCAAACCTAAAATGAGCTTTTGCCTACGCACGGGCCCTGCACACAGGAGCATGAAATGATTAAATTACAACATCGCAGTTTACACACCGGCGGTACAGGCTATCTACAAAGTGGAACAATGCAAAAACGTAAGATCGCACCGGCAAGCTTAGTGTTTTGTAGTCTGGATTTTATTGTTATGCGTTTTTGCTTATATGCAAATGAAAAAACGCATATTATGACGACCCCCAAGTGCGTGTGTGTGTCTGTCTGTCTGTCTGGATATTTCAACTCGGCACCCAAGCAAGCTTCGGCGCCAAAATTTTGCCAGTGGGTTCCCCGACCAAGTGCCACCCCAGGATCGCGTTACCAACTCTCACGCAAGTCTTGGCCTTGCATACGAGAGGGTGAAAGTTTTGGCGAGAAAATCGCTAACTCGGAAACCAGAAAAGCTAGAAAGCTGAAATTTTGAAGTTATGCTCTTCGTCCACATAGAACTTAAAGATTTTAAATTCAGCCGCCAGGCTTGCATAATACCCGCGTATGGCCCTGTGAGGGTTCCTGCTGCGAAAATCGCTAACTAGGGAACCAGGGAAACAGGGCGGCCGAAATTTTCAGGAGATGTTTCCAGCCCGCCGTAAAAGTTAAAGATATCAAATTCAGCTCCCAGATACGTGTGGTTCTCATGTACGGACCCATGAA